GCTCCATGTGTGTTATTGCCCCTGAAGACCTTCCAGTGGATCAAGAAGTAGAGGTGAAGACAGAGCCACTGATGATCCTGTGTAGGCCTGGGCGAATGTGTATGCTGTATCTTACTTTTTAGCAAAAATTTTAAAAAGAAAAAAATAATAGAAAAGCCTCATAGAAAAAGAATATAAGACCAGGCATGGTGGCTTATGCCTATAATCCTAGCACTCTAGGAGTGCGAGGCAAGTGGATTACCTAAGCTCAGCAGTTTGAGGTCAGCCTGAGCTAGAGTGAGATCCCATCTCTAAAACTAGCTGGGCATGGTGGCAGGCTAGTCCCAGCTACTCAGGAGGCTGAGGCAAGAATATCTCTTGAACTCAGGAGTTTAAGGTTAGTGTGAGCTATGATGCCACGACACTCTATGAAAAGAGACAAAGTAAGACTGTCTCAAAAAAAAAAAAAGAAAGAAAATATTTTTGTACGGCTGTGTAATGTGTTTGTTTCAAGCTAAGTGTTATTACAAAAGAGTAAAAAAGTTTTAAAAAGTGAAAATGTTTATAAAATAAAAAGGTTACAGATTTCCTAATTGGATCCCTTTAGCTCAGAAGTTCTAGAATAGCCTGAGCAGGAACAAGAACCCATCTCTACTAAAAATAGAAAAAAATTATCCAGGTGTTATGACAGGTGCCTGTAGCCCCAGCTACTCAGGAGGCTGAGGCAGGAGGATTGCTTGAACCCAGGAGTCTGAGGTTGCTGTGAGCTGGGTCAATGCCATGGTACTCTAGCCTGTGCGACAGAGTGATAATCTGTCTCAAAAAAAAAAAAAAAAGAAGAAAATAATTTTTATAAATTTTGTGTAGCCTAAGTGTATCGTGTTTATAATGGCTAGAGTAGTGTACAATGATGTCCTGGGCCTTCACATTCCCTCCCCACTCATTCACTGACTCACCTGAAGCAACTTCCAGTTCTGCAAGCTCCATTTATGGTACATTTCCTATACTATGTTTTATCTGTGCCATGTTTTACTTCTTATACCATATTTTTACTGTACCTTTTCCATGTTTAGATATGTTTAGATAAACAAATACTTATCATGTTACAGTTGCCTATGGTGTTCAGCACGGTAACATGCTGTGCAGATCTGTAGCTTGGGAACCCTAGGTTGTATGTCCCATATGGCCCGGGTGTGCAAGCAGGCTATAACATCTAAGTTTGTATAAGTATAATGTTCGCACAACAACAAGATTGCCTACCATTGCATCGTTCAGAATGCCTCCCCATCATTAAGAGAAGCCTGACTGTGTATGATACAGATGCTATACTAATTGCTAAGAAGCAGGAATGTGAGTGAAAATAAACTTGACTGAAGATTGATGCTGTCGTGACATTAATATGTCATTTCAGAAAACCTAAAAATTAGAATTACTAAGGAGTGGAGGGTTTAGGGGTCAACATAACCTTCCCATTTTCTTCCTATTGCCGATCATCTCCACTGTCATATAAGCCCATTAAATAGATCAAGTGCAAGGTCCCTATATCATCCTACACTTTGACAATTTGAAAATGCTGAGCTTTGATGTATGTATGCTTGAGTAGGCTGCGCATTCGCAGTAGATCCCATGGACTGTTACAACAGTGAATCTCAGATTAGGGAATAACATTCACACATCCTCTGGGCATTTACTGAGAAGCTTCTATGTGTCAGCCCATTTGCCCAGGAGTGAGAATGCAAAAGTAAAGGCAGCATAGTCCCTGGTCTCATGGGGCTCTCCCATCTATCCTGAGGGACTGATGTCTAAACAAAATTATTAGGCAAGTGATAGTTACCATTACAGTTGTATGAACACGATGCTTGGGGAACTAAGGAGGCTGTATTAAATTCAGCCCAGAAGATAAGGAAGAGTTCAAGAAATCTTTACGGAAGAATTAATGCTTGAACTGAGACTTGGTAAAATTTCTCTGGATAAAAAATGGAGAACTGATGTCTCAGGGAGAAGAATCAGTATGTTGGAAAAGAAGAACAGTGTGAAGATAACATTGTTCTTTTGGGAAAATGACAGGCAGTTCACTGTGACTGGACAGAAAGCATGGGGACAGACAGAGGTGGTCACATCTGAGTGCCATGTGAGGAATTGGTACTTAACTTGGAGATGACGGGAGTCAGTGAGGAATTTCCAGCAGGTGAGCAGTACGACTTGATGTGCATCTCGTCACCCTGGCAACCTGACAGAGGGCAGCTTGGAGAAAGCAAGACAAGGCAGTCAGGAGGCTGTGGAAAGCCCCGCCAAGATCTGATGAGACCCTAAGTAAGGCAGCTGCAGGGGTGACAGGCCTCAGGGGTGGCAAGGGGACAGAAAAGAGAAGGGGGAAGATCTGGAAAGAGGTGGTAGAAAGTCAAGACTATGACATTCTGGGACAAGACTAAAGTTCTGCAATATGCACAATTCTGGCCCCTTTATCACTTTTCCTGTCTTAACAAAGCTGCCGTTTAAGTGTTGGTATTTCTGCTTTGATTCACTCATTATGTACACACAAAACTTTGCAGAAGGGAGAGGGCGCCAAAGCAGAGAGTGTTTGTGCCTCTGGGTTGAAAGAGAATGTTAGTACAACTGCTAATAAAGCTTTGCCTGGGAATGGCTAAAATACACGATTTTCTTATCAGAACATGAAAGAATAAACCACACTAGTGTTATCCAAAGTTTGGTACAAGACCTATTTGGTGCTAGTTAAATATTCAGATTCCAGGATCTTCTCTTGATGTAACAAATTTGGCCAGAGGGTGGAGACTCGAATTTTGCATTTTTAACAAGCAAGGAGATTCCTATGTACCCTAGTGTTTGAAAGCCACTAATGATTTTTAAAGACCCTTCCAAGCCTACATTTTTTTTTTAACTACAAAATGTTCCTATAGAGGATACATTTTTGAGGAATCTTTGAGAGAATTAAATATCTTTGAGAGAGACAAAGAGGTTGAAGTCATCCTTAATAATGTTACTCTGTTATTAATATCAAACATTTATTCAGTGTTCATTTGTGCCAAGTCTGGGGCAAATACATTTTACATATAATCACATTTATTCAGGTCAAAGTCCTTTTAGCTAAAGACCACCAGAAAGACCACCACGTCTTCTTTAAACAACTTGGGTTTATACCTGTAACACAGGAGCACACATCCAATGGGTAATCATGGAATGTCCCAGGGCGAGGCTTAGAAAGGATCAGCTAGTAGATGTAATAATAAAAAAAGAAAGAAAGAAAGGACCAGCTATAGGATTTTATTTTGGTTGGGTGATTTGGGGAAGGGCCTAAAAAAGCCTGGGTTCACTCTAGATGGGCCCTTGTGAGAAGCAGGATGAATTTTATGATTGGCTATCTCAAATAACCCTCCCTACAGGAAAGGGAGACTAGGCAAGAGAAAATATACAATTGACAAAGAAGGAGCAGTTAATCATTTTGGCTGAGGGGGGCATGTTTGGTATTCTGTGGGAGGCATACTGACTTTGTTTTTGTCCCTGCCCAGACAGAACTATGAAGTGGCCTTCTCTAATCTCATTTCCTCATGGTCTCAGAGTCACCTATTCTGAAGTTGGCACTCTGGGAGAGAGATTGTTTATGTCTAACAGGGGAATAGTAAGTCCTTTCTGTGAGTGTCAAACCAGCTTCTGAATGTCAAAGACGGCTTTCTCTTCTTCCTTCTTTCCTTCCTTCCTTTTTTCCTTCTTTCCTTCCTTCTTTCTCCCTCCCCTACTTCTCCCTCTTTCCTACCTTTCTTCCCCCCTCTCTTTCCTTCCACCTTCCTCCCTCCCTCCCTTCCTTCTTTCCCTCTTCCTCCCCACTCTCCTCTCTCCCTCCCTCCTCTCTTTCTCTCTCCCTTTCTCCTTCCTTCCTCCCTCTGTCCCTCTCCACTCCCCTTCCTTCCCCTTCCTTCCTCCTTCCCTCCCTCCTTCCCTCCCTCCTTCCCTCCCTCCCTTCCTTCCTTCTCCTCTCTCTCCCTCCCCACTCCCCCCCCTTCCTCCCACCCTCCTTCCTTCTTTCCCTTCTATTTTTCCTTCCTCATTAATCATACTATATCCCATGAGATAACTCTCGCTCTGAGGGGTTGAGTGATTTGTCACATTCATACAGCCACTGGGTGGGCCTCCTGAGTCTAGGCAGCTGGAATCCAAAGTTTACACTCCATTAGTGAAGTTTTAATGGCTTTCTTCTACCCTGGGAAAAGGAGAGGCAACCTCTCAATCAATATACACAGTGCTTCTCAGTATCAGGCCTAACAACCTCAGAAACCTACCCCCTGGTTCTTATCCTAAATTGACTGCCAGGGGCTGATTTCTAGTTACCTGAAGTGCACTCACAAAAGAATAGAGTCTGCATAGTTACAACTAGCCGAGATAAGCATCTAGATTTGTGCCCTGCACTAGACTGGTAAATCATGTAAAGAAAAACAATGAAGAAACAATTTAAGATAGAGTGTGTCTATCATCAGGGAAATTAGTGCTTCAGACATTCTGTCTTGACAACCTCCTCTCTGGAATCTGGAGCACTTCTATAAAGACATAGATTTTTCCCAGAAAATTCAAGAGGTGTGATTGAATCATATGTGTGGAGACATGCATTTCAGGTCAAAAGTTCAGGCTGATGTGCTGATAAATTTAGAAAACAGTAAGAATCCAAATAAAAGCTACACAGAGCAGCCCATACAGGACAGCGTTAGAATATACCAGAGAACGAAGGCAAAATCTACAATCATTTCCACTGAATGCAGCATGTAAAAGGGATCCGTGAAATCCCCTTACCCGCGCGGGCCCCTTTTGTGTTGTTCTTGCCAACGCAGCAGCCGTCCTGCTATATAGACCGCTGTGGCTGCCGGGCCCCAACGCACTGAACTCGCCTCACCCGTGTCAACCAGCCAGCCATGGGGAAGGTGAGCAGAGCACAAGTCAAATGAAAGGGGGGAGGAGGACCCTTAGACGAGGTCTGTTGGGAGCAAATGATTTAATCTGGACTCATCCTTCTTCCGCAGATCACCTTCTACGAGGACCGGAGCTTCCAGGGCCGCTGCTACGAATGCACCAGCGACTGCCCCAACCTGCAGACCTACTTCAGCCGCTGCAACTCGGTGCGCGTGGACAGCGGCTGCTGGATGCTCTATGAGCGCCCCAACTACCAGGGCCACCAGTACTTCCTGCGGCGTGGCGAGTACCCCGACTACCAGCAGTGGATGGGCCTCAGCGACTCGGTCCGCTCCTGCTGTCTGATCCCCCAAGTGAGTGCCGCTTCATTTCCATCACGCCGCCTGAGCCACCTCGCTGAGTTGCTGGCCTGGGATGGAGGGAGGGAGCTTTTCCTCTAAAAACACCTAAGGGTTAAGTAGGTTTTAGATTCCGGCCTAAGCCCAGATAGTTACATGCACAAAAACAGCAGAGAATATAAGGAAGAATCCTCTTAGAGGAAATGTTCGTTTTATTTTTAATTTTTGCTACTATTAGATCCATCACAAGTTGTAACAAGTGCAATATCATAATGGCATAGAAAACAAACTTGTAGATGGGAAGTCAGTGGAGCATAAGAAGGCAATCTTTCCAGTGAATTATTTTACCTATAGGAAAGGAATTTCTGACGAATGAATTAGGATTCCACTGTGCACTAGTAATGGTTGGAAGCTCTATTGTTAATACAGATTGTCCAACTTTGGAAGAGGTAATTTTCTTATTTTGGAAAACCAGTTGAATTCTGGCTCCAAGTTAAATTAACTTTCCACTGGAGTACATGATTTTTAAAATCTACTTTAGCAGTAATCTTTTATGTACATAAATTTGAGAGAGAATACTCTTATTAAAAGAATACAGGTCAAAATACATTATTTCTATTTTTCCCCAAATACAGGTTTGAGTTAATTAACACAGGGAGTTAGGAACCAATAAATGTGAGTTCTTGATATATTCTGACTCAGAGTTTGAACCTATTAAAAATTACATCTCTTAGATGTGAGGTAGAAAATGAACGTGCAAGTATTTGTTAAATGCTGGCAGACGTACCCACGCACAGCATTCGCTGGAATCTCAAGACCTAAATTGCACATTGGCAATCCCACGCCCCATCCTACCAAGCTCATCTGTTGTCTGGTTGGAGGAATTCTGTAAGAGGCTCATTTGCATTTCCTATTCCTTCTTTCTGTGGGCTGAGTAGACAAGCTCTCACAGGATTAGGCTGTACGAGAGAGAAGACCTCAAAGGCCTCATGATGGAGCTGACTGAGGATTGCTCCAGCATCCAGGACCGCTTCCACCTCAGTGAGGTCCGTTCGCTCCAGGTGGTGGAAGGCTGCTGGGTCCTCTATGAGCTGCCCAACTACCGCGGGCGGCAGCACCTGCTGAGGCCCCAGGAGTACAGGAGGCACCACGACTGGGGGGCCATGGATGCCAAGGCGGGCTCCTTGCGGAGAGCAGTGGATTTATACTAAAATAGCTTAACACTACCATTTTCTCATTTTGGAACCTAATAAAGTATTTAGTCTGTATTGTTGGCAATTGCTGACTTCTGTCTTTCTTTCCTTGCCAGCGATTCACCGGTCAATGCTCCTCCTTAAAGGGTGAAAAGGGAGTAGGGGGAGAGAGGGAATTTCTGTTTAAAGAAGTGCTTCAAGGTAGAGTGAATTTGAACACGACTCAGAATTGGGAGTGGAGGCAGGATGTGGTCTGCCTGGGAAAGGCGGGGGAGAGGTCAACACGAGAGAAGCGGGAGTTGGCTGACTGGTGAGAAGGGAAGCATTCAGCCTAGGGATGGGGATGTGATGAATATTCCAGAAGTTCCTTCTGTCCTAAGACGTAAGAGAAGGCCACCAAAGGCAAAGTCGGATGAGTGATGAAGTCAAGGCTAACTTGGCAAACAACCTGATTAGACTAAACAAGGAACTGTGGTTTTGTTTACTTTCAAGCATAATATTCTAGAACTAATGCCAGAGCTCCCATTGGCCATTGCCATCACCATGGGAGTGATGACCATGCCTTTGTGCAAAGTTAAAGACCATCTGTCTTCCCCTAACATAGTTCTTGATCTGGACCATACCTCTTAGCCAGTACTATCTCTGGCCCAAACACCTTGTGAAGAACAAAAACTGCATACTGTATGTGGGACTCGATTAATGCAAATAAATTAATTAGAGATACACATCAATCTTTTAAATAGACTTGCATGATATAGTGTACCACAAACATAAAAAGTCCTTTAAGTACAAAAAAGGGACTCAAATTTAAAGCTTTTTTTTTTTTTTTTTTTTTTGAGACAGAGCCTCAAGCTGTCCCCCTGGGTAGAGTGCAGTGGCATCACAGCTCACAGCAACCTCCAACTCCTGGGCTCAAGCGAGTCTCCTGCCTCAGCCTCCCAAGTAAGCTGGGACCACAGGCGCCCACCACAACTTCCGGTTATTTTCTTGGTTGCAGCCATCATTGTTGTTTGGCCGGCCCTGGCTGGATTCGAACCCACCACCTTAGATGTATGTGGCTGGTGCCTTAGCCACTTGAGCCACAGGTGCCAAACCAAATTTAAAGTTTTTGGTGAAACTAAAATCTTGCAAAGACCTGGAAATATAAAAGGCAAGCAATTAAAAATTTTTTATTGGTAGAAAATTTATTTATTTTTAACTTGAAATTTTCTCTTCAAAGTAAAAGCCACCCATAACCTTATTACTTTAAAATTCTATAAAGGAAGAAGTTGAGAGGATCCTTCTGATGCTCTTGGTTCCTAAGTATTGTTTATAGTTGGTGATGACCTTTTTAAAAATTTTCCCTTGTTTATAGAACTAGCTCATATAACACATGCTTCTTTGCTTTACAAAAATGGAATCATGCTATACTCATTATTCCACAACTTTCCTTTAAATTGTGTTTAGTATGGATATATCTAAGTCAGTGCTCTGCTTAATGGTTGAATTGTATCCATTGTTTAGAGGTCCTTCAGAAGATTATTTCACCATTTATCCAAGGGTGATTGGGCTTTTCCAATGTTGCTATTATAAAAAATGCTCCAATAAATATTGTTGTACATATACCTGTATCCTGATATGCCATAATTTCAAGAGGATAGAGACGTAGAAATAAGACTGCCTGCTCATAGTCCAAGTTTATTTTTTATATTAAAAAATTTTGTCTGATTATTAGCCACTAGAGGTCCTAATTGCTTTGAGTTAATCTTTACTATTTATTGAGCATCTACCATAAGACTTGCTGAAAAAACAACCAAAATAAAAAAAGGTATTTTGTATTGGATCATTTCTATGTAGAGCTCTACCACCATGCAGCTCTCATACAAACAATATTAAATGACATATGATCACCTTTTTTAAAGTTAATATTTACCAAGTATTAAACAATGCATATTTAACCACTTTTATTTATCAAGTACTTTTATTAAGTGCTTTAAAATCATCCCTTGACAAACTTCCAGGGAAAATAAATAAAGTAATATTTATTTACATATTTCTCATGGTATATGTTTTTATTCCTTAATCTTTGAGGAGGGAAAAGTATTTTCCTGGCATGATGTATACATTTCACACTTCCTTATATAGCTTACTTTTCTGCAACACTTTTTTCTTTCCTGCTTTAGAAAATCTCCAATGAACACAGAGTCTCCTGGGGATAGAAAACACTCTATCCTTGACACAGTAGGCAGATGAAGGGCTGTGTCACAGGGGCAGTCACTTCCTGCCTCTGGCCCGTTGGGAGCACTTGACCAAGATGGAGGCACTGGTAGGTTTTCTATCCGTCTCACCTCCAGGGACCCTCCTTCTTTCTCTTCCCTCCTCTCACTCCAGCCCCATTTCCTTCCTTTTTGCTCCTTTATTTCTTTCTCCAGCTCACTGGCCTTGGAGTACTGGCAAAGTGAATCTTCCAATGTCTCTCCTGTTCTTTAGGGAGAAATTTTAGCAATCATCCAGAGCTATAAAAACAGCTTATTTCTTGTGCTAAAATTGCTTGAGACTCACATATAAATCTTTGAAGGATCAGAAATTCTAATAATTAAATAAACATTTTATGAATGACTTCTTTTCTCTCTTATACACAAAATTACAGTGAAAGAAAGGTGAGATGGTCTTTTTCTTTAAAATTCAAAGAGAAATGTTAAGGAATTGGGTTCAACCAATTTTACAGTCAGTTTTGTGCCTTTACTGGTGAATCCTACATCTTCCATGAAGCACTCTGAGACCGATAAGGTTAATGATAGGTATTGAGGGTAGGGACAGAGAAGGATGAAGGTGTGTGCATAATACTGCTTCCTTTAAAATGAAAATGTCAAGGAAAGAAATGTTAGCTCAATAATAAAGGCAGCTTCTATACTGGACAAATTAAACCTATTATTTATAATACTTGCGAGGGAAACTGAAGTTTAGTTAAATTAAATGGTGACCAGTAAGAGGCAAGGCTGAGTCTCCAGCTCAGGTTTGTCTAATGTCTTTTACTGTTATGGTGGTCCTAAAGTGCAAAGTTTACAAAGGAGGAATTTCTGAAAGAATTCTAGGGTAGGATTTGGAAGCATTATAACAAACACACCCACCCACCAATGCTAACTATATTTTTCACATTCTTTTAAATCAAGTGGTTCTCAATAGTATAGATTTCCCAGACCAATTTCCTTTACATGAGGTCCAAATGAGATCACCAGTTTTTATTTTGCCAAGCAAGGACATTTAAAATAAAAAAAAATTAAAAATTAAGTGCTATCTATTCTTACATAATTTTATGAAAGAAAAGATGTTACAAAAAAAAATTTAACCCCCTTCCCCCAAATGCAAAAATTCTTAATAAAATATGGTTCAAACAAGAAAGAACACTTGGGAACTTGGCCTTAGATTTTAGCTGATAAAAATTAGTTGAAACTAAGCAGAATTTAAAAACTGGTGTTTGGCGTTGCAAGTCAATGCCTTTATGGGCCAAGATGGCATTAAAAAGTGGCAGAGCCTCCTTTAAGACAACGGGGAAGGATGGGGATAATGGTGGACTGTGGAGAGCATGAAGCAATCCAAAGCTTTATTAAAAAAATCTAAACACTGCATCAGCCAAACAAACCACATCTCTAGATCCCCAGCCCTCAGGGCTGCCAGTTCTCATTTCCAAGCTATCATGAAAGCTGGTGGGAGCCACCAGGCATGGACGTCGCAGTGTTCCCTGTGCATCCTCTTACTCACACCCGGTGAAATGCCTTGGTACCATGTAAGCACACAGAACTATACACATGGAGACTGGGAAGTGAGGAAAGGAAATCCCAACAATAACCATCTCCTATATTTTGATTTCTAGAAAAAAGCAAAGGGCTATTTATTACATACTTTATTTGTAGACCGGCACTTACACCAGCTGACTTACTGACTTACTCACTTACAAATCGCTGACTCTGCGACCCGAGATAGTCTCTTACACCGTTACTTTTGTTGGAAAACACCTGAATATTTAGCAGGTGACAAAAGCCCAAATATTTCCTGGGCTAGGCAGAAGTCAGACAATAGTACCTGACGTTCACCTCTTTTCTCCCACCAAAGGCAGGGCCCATGTGCCATTCACGGCAACTTGTGTCGAGTTCTGCCTCTGTCCACAGATGTCAGATTCTCAGGTCTTACTTCATGTTCACCTAGCACACTAAGTACAAGTTAGGGCATAGGCCTTACACACACTGCTCACTCTGGAACTTTCTGCAGAGCATTCGAAATCAAGCTACATTTTTGGCTCAAGCCATTTGCTTTTCAGCTCAATGAGAAGTCTGGGGTTTTATAATTGTTTCTTCAGCCCCAGGCTAAAATAAAGCCATCTCCATTTCTTGTCATTGGAAAGGCAAGGCCAAAGTCTCCTTGTTTGCCCTCCAGATGTTCCCTAAATTTTAGTTATGACTGCAAGTCAGCAGAGATAGTTATCCCCACAGACATTCCCAGGATACTCCTCAAGTTATCTGGGACACTTTGCATGCTGGTTCTTTCTCATATTTTACAGTCTGTCCATCAACACTCTCCCTGAAGAAGCCTGGACATGGAAACAACTCTGAGAAAAATAATGTGGGGGGGTTGATGTGTTTTTATTAATACAGCATAGTTGTACATATTCTGTGACATTTTAAGACATGCACATAACATGTAATGATCAAATCAGGGTAGTTGGAATATCCATCACCTCCAACATTTATCTTTGTATTATCTCTATCCCCCATGAGTGAGATCATGTGCCTTTCTAAGCTTGGATCATTTCACTTAACATAATGACCACCAGTTTCATCTGTGTTGGTGCAAATGACAGGATTTTATTCCTTTTTGTGGATGAACAACAACATTTGAGTGTTATACAGACCGCATTTTCTTGATGCAGTCATCTGTTGATCTCTTGATGAATGGATGATTCTGTATCTTAGCTATTGTGAATAGTGCTGTAGTATACATGGGGTGCAAGTATCTCTTCAATATACTGATTTCCTTTCTTTTGGATTTATAACCAGCCGTGGAATTGCTAGATCATATGGTAGTTCTATTTTCAGTTTTTTGAGGAAC